AAAGGGATGACGTCGCTTCACACCCTTTTCACATATATTTCACTATGCAAAATTTCACATGCACGTGAAATATGTGTGTGAAATGCATGTGAAAAGTGTGTGAAAAACGTGTGAAAAATGTGTGAAAAGAGTGTGAAAATAGGACATTTTTCACATGTTTTTCACATGGTGTTTCACATACATACTCCTAGTAGTGTTAGATGCAACTGAAAAGGTAACAAGAACAGTGTTTAGTTGAACATGTTGCCCATTCTGATACATAACTCAGGGTTAAATTATGTCAAAAGTAAACACTTTTTGCTTAAAATCGTACCATCAGGTGGCTTTGGTGAAGTTTTACCAACGCCTGGGTGGGTTGTAACTAGAATTTCTGGTCGTGTTCCTTTGATGGATGAAACGTCTACATTGAAATTTCCAAGCTTCCCATTCTTAGCGGCGTCTTTAAGTATATTTAGCATCCGCTTTTCGGTGACAATGGCACTAAAACTCAGGGTGAGATCGACAATCACACTTCCACATCTATAAGAAGAAAACAAGGCTATTAGAGATTCACGAAATCGTCTGAGTTTGGGCTTCCTTTCACCCGTTGGTCCAGTAGCAAAGAGATCAGCAAGTGATTGGCATGTCACTCTTTTGACAACTCCTTCGCCCACGGTGAATTTTTCACCATCTCGGTAAGTTCCTTCATTGTGAAGATATGCCTTGATGGCACTAAATGGTAATGAGTCACATACATCTGAAGAAAAAGTTACCGAGTTCGATCATCAATGTGGACAAGACCTCTTTGCTCACCATGTGAAAGAAAAGAAAAACCGTACAATAAAACAGGCCGGTAAGCAGACAGAGAAAAAGGTACATCCAGCCTTAGTCCAGAGGTTCTACATGTAAATAATCTTGGCCAAGAACACTGGATTTATGCTGTTACTATTCGCACCAGTCCCTTGCATTCATTCGCTTTGCTCACCTATCATGGCCGACGAACAGGTCCCTGCACAAGCTGCAGTTCAACAAGCTCAAGCGTTGCTTCAGCCTGCCCAACCGCCGGTGGCTGGTCCAAATACTCCAGTCGAGCCTAATCCTTCTCCCTTACAGCTATATAATTTTTCTTTCTTGTTGGTTTTGTTTTTGTTGTTCAGACTTTTCTGGCTTGCTTCCCCACCACGTTGCTCGCCCCGTTCTGTCTTTATATGCTATCGTTAGTATTTCCTCGCTTCATTTTTTCTTTACTGTGTTTTTCAAATTTCTCGTCTTACGCCTCCACACGCCTGGCCGGTTGTTCGGTTAGAACTGTAATGCTCTTCTCTTTGCCCCCGTAAAGTTTTTTTCACGCTTGTCTTTTGTTTTTTCATTTAGTAAATTGTTATACTTGCTTTGCCTCGCAAACATTGGGTTTGTGTAGTGCTTTTCCCTCGCTTCCTGTAAACTTTTTACACGCCTGTATTTTGTGTTATTTAGAAGATTTTGTTACGTATGCTTTGCCTTACAAACATTGGGTTTGAGCAGCGCTTTCCTCTCGCTTCGTATAAACTTGTTGCACGCCTGCGTTTTGTTTTATTCAGTAGATTTTGTTTAATATGCGTGATCCGCCTCACAAACAACGGGTTTGAGTAGTGCTTTGCCCTCGCTTCCTGTTAAATGATGGCACGCTTGTGTTTTGTTTGATCATTTAGTGAATTTTGTTATGCGTGCTTTGCCTCTCAAACATCTGTTTGTGTAGTGTTTTCCCTCAGTTCCCGTAGAATTTTTGGCGCGCTTCTGTTTTGTTTTATTCGGTAAATTTTGTCACCTGTGTTTAACCTTACAAACCTCGGGTTTGTGCAGTGCTTTTCCCTCGCTTCCTGTAAGCTTTTTGCACGCCTGTGTTTTGTTTTATTCAGTAGATTTTTGTTATGCGTGCTTTTCCTCACAAACTTCGGGTTTGTGCAGTGCTTTTCCCTTACTTCCTGTAATTTTTTGGCAGGCTTGTTTTGTTTTTTATTCGGCAAATTTTGTTATGCGTGCTTTGCCTCTCAAACAACTGTTTGCGCAGTATTTCTAAATTCCCTCGGCTCTGGTTAAATGTGTACGTACCCTTATTTTGTCCCCTGTACTATTTAGTGAAGTGTTTTGTTATGCGTGCCTTACCTCGCGCATTCCAGTTTTTGTTCCTGGCCCCTTTGATTTGCACGCTTTACTTACTCTTTGTTATTTAGTTTTGGTAGCATGCCTACCGAAGTTTCCCGCGCCTATTTTTCGTTTCTCCCTTCTCCCATGGTGGCCCTGAAAGGGTGTCTTCTGCCCTAGTCGGATTACTGACGCTCAGGCTGCTATCTCTTGGATAAGGTTATCTCGCGTATCCTCTACGCCTTACGTTTGTCCTTTTTTCTTCAGTTTGTTTTCTTGTTACCACTCAAGGGTTGGAAGCCTTTGAATGGTTCGTTCATGTCGTTCTTTTCGTATTCCCAAAATGACCCCCTTGCCCAGCTGTTGGCTAGGGTTAGAAGTTTGGAGGAGGCTATAATGCAACTGCAGTACCGGCTCGCCTCGCAAAGATAGCTCAATATGGCTTCCAGAGAGAACAACACTTTGACAAATACGTCGCGCTTGCTATGGCAGAGCAGCTTGCCACCGCAACAAAGTTGGCTGGGGATGAGAAAGCCCCGACTTACAACGCCATTGCGTGCACCCTTTGGGAGAAGCTTCCAGTTCCGAAGAAACAATTCAAAGCGTATATTGTTGCCCTGTTGGCTGACAAGGAGTACGCCAAAGTACTTGAGGCGGTCACTAACGGTGACAAGTCATTTAAAACTTCAGCCTCCAGCTCCAGTGGGGTCACAGCCCAGCCTTTTCCTCGTTCATGCTAGACGGCCAAGAGTTTTCTTTTACGCTTACGCCGCTCCTGGTCATATTGCTACAAGGTGCTTTAAGAGGTTTGGTGGTCGCAGTTACCCGCAGTCTTGTCCTCGTCCACTTATGTCACCTCCTAGTGGCCCGAAATACATGGCGTTTTTCCCCTTTCATTGTTATTCATAGGCCGACGCTGACATTTGTTTCTTTGTATCCTATCTTTGCTTGTGTAGCAGTCTGTTCTCGTTATTTTTAATAGGCAAGCTTTGAATTAAAGTTTAAAGTATATTTTGTTACTTGACTGTTTCGTGTCCTATTAATCCAGTCCGTTGTTTACCCGTTTGCTTTTAGGCTATTTGTTTTATAGTACTTTCATTTTCATAATTGCGGGCCTTTCAGCTCATTTTGTTAGTCAACCTTAGGGGTGTCATACATCCTTTCTTGCGTTCAACCCTGAACTTATCTCTTCTTCCCCTTTGTTTTTTATTTTCCAGCCTCCGCCCAAGCGTATTAGACTCTCTTAAGGTCGGTACACACTAGGCGACAAGTTGCAGCAACAATTCGCCGTGACAGATCACTTGGTGTGTACAGGTTCGGCGACAAGTTGCAGCAACATGTTACGGCGACACATCGCAGCGACAAATCGCTTCGTGTCTACTGGGGAAATTTTGTGAAAATCTTTGTCTCTGCAACAGAATTTTGTCGCTGCAACAAGTCGCACGACAAAATTCTGTTGCAGAGAAAAGAATTTTCACAAAATGTCCCTAGTACACACGAAGAGATTTGTCGCTGCGACGCACATGTTGCCGCAACTTGTCGCCTAGTGTGTACCGACCTTTACGCTGTTCCAGATCGTGGCAGCGTACGGATAAGTTTGATCCGTTGTCTGTCAAACATAACAGCATTTCCTGGGTTCATCACGATGGCCCTAGAGCCTCGTCCTCACTTCCCTCAGCCTTATAATACTCACTTGTCTACGGTTTGGATCAACAGTGTTATTCGCGGCGACTTAGCAGCGGACGTTTCAATGCTTACCTTTCCAGACCCCGCTCATATTCTTGCCGGTCAGCTGCATCAGCATCTCCTAGCAGGGATCGACCTAGCCGGTTCCATCACTTACCTACTTTCGCAAACTGTTCTCGCTTGGCTATAGAATAAAGTACAAGTGCAACGCTTTTTCAGGAATTTGCGGGCACTTTGACTCTTCCTCCCCTCCCAAGCGAGTGTTCCGCAATCATATTTCTTGTGCACCTTTGCCCGAGTTTATTTGTGACACGATTTTACAGCGTCTTGCTACTGGAGTCATTTCTATTCGGGGCAAACTGAGCGAGGTAGGTCCTCCTCATCTTGTCATGCCGCTTACAGTCGAACCTTCTAAGCCTAGACTTTGCAATGACAATAGATTTTTGAATTTATCGATGATTGACCAGCCGTTCAATCATGACCACCTCGTATCAAACTGTATTCATAAATAAAGCTGTTGTTTTTCTCATTCGTCTCGGTTGTTTTGCCTATAGGGTCTACCTCCGGTTGCGCGCAACTTTGTTCCCGCTACCTGCTGCCCTGAGTGTCAATATCCAAATGATCAGGATTTCCGGTTTTGCCAGATGTGCGGGTTTCAGAGGCCTGTCGTTTCCTCCGCCCAGCCTTTTTCAGCTTCACGCCCTGATATTTCCGCCATAGATAGTCGTCTCAATCAGTTTTACAGGGCATCGCTTTATCCTCCGCTTATGCTAAACAGAAAGCCTCAATGAAGAACGAATTCCACGCTTTTCTCTGTTCTCTGCTGGGGAATAAAACGCTTCTTTCTACCACGCCTAAAGATGTTTGTCGCTTCCTGGCATGGAATGACTCCCGGGGAAAGACGCAAGTCCATGTAACCTCTTGTCCTAACCTAGGGAAGCACAACGTTCATGACTGTGGTTGCCCTACTCGCCTATCTTTTGCTACCGTGGAATCCTATATTGGAAAGCTGCGGGCAATTTGTTTCAAAGATGTAGGAAGTGGCGGGGGGAGGGCGTTGAATTGGCGACTGGAACACCGCTCTTGCTTTGGGGAAACCTACGGCTCCTGCTGAGGTTCAAAACTATCTTAAAGCTTTTTCGTCCGGGCAGTTACAGGCTTCAGTCACTACAAAGCAAGCTCCCCCGCTCTTCCCTTCTAAGCTCTTTCATATGTCCTGTTTCATTCTGGGAAAAATGTCTACTCCTGATATCACCGACACCCAACTTATCGTTTATGCGAGAGACGCCGCCTTGTTTAAGGCGCTGTCTTTCAGCGGTGACCGAGCAAATGATCTTAGTCTAGTCAAGACTCAAGAGATTATGCGAGGTCTCCCGTTCAATCACGTCTGGGGAAAGTCCCTCAGGTACCGCTCCTCCAGTCTTTTTGCGATACGACGCCATACGGATTTGTCTCTATGTCCAGTGAATGCCATAGAAGTTTATGTCGCTATTTCCTCTGTGCTTTCTGTGGACCTGTCTACCGGTTATTTGTTCCGACCCCTCACCTCTGCCGGGAAGATCATCAATAAGCAGATTGCCAACTCTATCCTACAGTCTCGTCTGCGTGAGTATTTGCGAGGGGCTCAGATTTACGACGGCGAAACTCTGCACAGCTTTATGGCCGGGGTTGCTATCACTCTAGCCCTTTCGGGAAGCCAACTGACAGATATTATGGAGAATATTGGTTGGTGTCACGCTCCCGCCACGTCTCATTACTTAAAGGTTGCGCAGGTCCTTCGCCCCGGAGGTCCTTCCGAGTTGCTGTCTCGCAACGTCTCTTCGGCCCACGTCCTTGTTGCGCCTTATTCTGGTTTAAATAGTCTGACCAACTTAACAGTCGCTTTCCCTGCTGGCCCTTCACCCTTGTTTAAGGTCTCTAGGAGATAACATGTTGATTTAGCCAGGGTTAAAAGCGAAGCTCCCATTAATAAATTTGTAATTTAAATCAAAGAATAAACTTGTATTCCCTAAATCAGTTAACTTTACAGCACATTCATACGACTTTTGAGGGAAAGGCTAAGTGATTTTAGAGAAAAATAATTTGCAAACAGTCTAAGAGTGAACCAAATCTTACATCGAGTTGATAGCCTAATATGTGCACCCTTCGATCACATTTAAGAGCCATAATGGCTCTTGATCACAGTAGATTAGGCCTCGGAAACAAATTATTGGAAAACAAATCAGGCCCAATTTTTTGCGTTCGACAAGTTTGTTTTACAAAATCTTGCTAACAAATCTGCGGGCGTGTAAACCAACCTTTTATACTTTTTATACATCACATCTGAGGTGAAACACTACTATGAGGCGCTGTTTTTATCATACAGACCTCGGACAGAATGCAGTATTTCACAATTTCGAAATAAAAATTGCACTCATTCAATATTCAGGACGATCGAAACATGCGTGGGCTTTTAGCGAAACCGCTAAAAAAATTTCCAAAATCACCTATACGGCCAGCCGGTTGCGAGCTGTGGAGTGTTTGAATGAACATTAAAAGAGATACGCTTCAACATAATAAAGAATTTGTCATGTTTGTTTTTTATTTAATGGTTTTATAACGATGGGTAATCTTCAAAAGCGTTTGATACAGGCGGCATTTTGAGTACTCCTGCGAGCGATGTTCATGAACGACTGAAAACAAACGGCACAGTGATGAAAATTACAAGAGAGACTACTGACAATCAATAAACTAAATATTCTTTGGAACGTTTTCTTTCTATTTGCGGTGAGAAAATGTCCAAAGGCTTTTCAAAGTTCTGTAAGCTTATATCAAACCTGATATGTATGCTCGTTCAGATCATTGTCTCAAATCTTACAAACGTGAATAAACTAAATAGCAGCATAAACTACGCTCGACTTCATTAAATTAGATATAAAAAACAAACATCAAATACAATAATTTCTCAGACTCACCATTCCAGATGCAGCTCCTGGACGCCTCTCAAGTAAGGCCAGAATCGCTTCAGACTTTCCAACCCTCTTTATACGCATCAAGCAAGGTGAAAAACGAAAACGATGCCATCCGAAATCGGATTTCCGACTTTGACAAACGACGTATTTCTCAACCAAAAACCCAATAAACAAACTAGCCATGAATAACAGAGGACTTTTGATAGCAGCTGAATTTCATTTTGTACATCCAGTAGAAAAAGACAGTTAAAAACATCACAAGTTGACACAAAACTCTCTCAGCTTCAGTTGTCAAAGTAAACAAGTTTCAAGATGCTGCATAAAATTTCCTCATGAGCTCACCTGTCAAATTTTGACCAATCAGAACATAAAAATTGGACATAGAGTGTGACCAACGCGTGACTATGGTGAGAAACGTCAAAAGCAACTGTCTTCCCTGCCTGTAATAGCTGGCTGAATTTTCGCGTCCGAGGTCAGTTTGAAATCAAAATTTTAATTGTGCGGCACATAAACACAACATATTCCATATGAATTTAAAAAAATTAAACTTGAGCCTGCGATCATTTTAATTTTATTTACTTGTCAGCGGTTACCTTAAAAAGAATACTCGACCTCGATGGTAGCTCGAGGGGTCGACACCTGAGCCCGCGATACTGTCAGGTGATACTGGTCAGCGGATACCCTGTTTTGACAGCTGTTAATTGATCACAACTTTGATGGGCAATATGTGTGCAATATCCGGTGCTGCCAAACTAGCTAGAAAGTGTGAGATCGAACATTGGTTGCCCTGTGGTGCGGAAGGACGGGCGGGCGGTGTACAGTCACGTGCTTACCAAATTTTCTGGGATGGGCAGATTTACTTAGCTATAGGGCTCTGCTATTAAACGTTTAACTTCTTGGCTCGGTCGCTTACCTCAATATCTTATTCAGCGAGCGTGAAAGGGACTGTCGCGAATAGTATGCTGTTCGATGGAATAAAAAGGAATACAGTAATCTCATTACCTGACATTATTTACAGTTGTGCTGAGGTAGTTACTTTCATTAGCAAACACGCCCCTCATCTAGAAATTAACAGAATTAAGAAAATTAATATATTGAAATTATAGTTCATGTAAACAGGCACTTAGTTTAGCCTGTGTAGCAAGCATTTCAGCGGTATGTTGCATGCCGCGCAGAAATGCTCGCTAAACAGGCTAAACTAAGGGCCTGTTTTTACATGGAACGAAAAGATGGTGCCAGTAGGGGGTTTTAGGCACCTTAAATCCCAGCGTTGATTTGTAATTACTGCCATTGTACGTGTTAAGATTAAACAATGTAGCCGCACCCACCTTAGCAGGGTCAAGTAAACGCGATCTGAATAGTCCCTTCCTTCGCAGAATTCGCGCTCCCCTTTCTGGGCTTGCTTGTCCGTTATTTCAAATCCCAAAGCACTTTCCTCGGTCTGAGCCCTCTTCAAAAGTCCTGTACCATTTCTAAACTGTCAGATTTGTTCGATGCTTTTCTTTCGCCGTTCGTTCGAATTGATATCTACTGAAATATTCGCCCGGGTTGTCCCATTTAGAATGGAGATGAGAAACCATTTTGGAAGGAAATTCGGTGCCTTTTACGCGAACGTGGCCAGTGGTAATCTGAGAACAATATTATTAAACAATGGGTTTCCAATTTTACTGCGCTCACTCGTATTTAATATTTTTCACACCTTGAAGATAGATTTCGCATTTCCGCGCGGCCATATAATATCCTCTAGTTCCTTTAAACATAGCACAGTGAACAAGTCTCGTATTGCATCTGTCGGAAATGGTGTCCTGAATGGCGGGAGTATGTGAGGGAGAAAAATTCGATCAGAGTAGTAGGCCTGGAAAAACCTCTTACCCTGACTAAATCCTACTAGCAAACCCATATTGACACTACAGTAAAAGTTGTAACTTTACCGTAACAGAAAGTTCCGTTGACAATGAAGATTTATTGTATCGTTCGTCAGAGCAGTCTCCAACTTCGATGACCATTGTAATGTTTATCTCTTTGCCTGCAATTACTGTTGAACAAAACATTTATATTATGATAAAGCAACCGAACAATAATAGCTAAAGTCTACCCAAAACGTTTTAATTTACTGAAAATTAATTACGTTTTTATCTAAAAATGTAGGAAAAAACCTTATTATTAAGTGACGGTGTGTCTACAATAAGCTTACAGTCTGCCAATATATTGAACGATATCATCTAAACTATGAATTTAACTTCATTAAATGGGACTGACTATGATTTTAATTTTAAATTAGAGTTTAAGGTGGCTCCCTAGAGTATTTACTAATAATCCGAGCTATCAAGCATACCTTACAGAAGGAAATCTAGTTACTTTGTCTTTGCGATTTTGTTCACGAGATTCACCGCTAAGGTTACCCATATAAGAAGCCTCCTTTATTAAGTTTCATTTTCTGGATTAAGGCCGCTGCCATGGAAACATCGCATCCTTAAACAGGCAGTAATTTTGTCATTTTTGCCCATTTTTCCTTAATATTTCTAATTTCCCGCGGTGAAATGTCTTTAAACTTTGCCACTTTATATTAACGATATTGCTTAACATTTTAAAAAGTGGAAAAAACATGGAGTCGTTAAGACAGTTTTGCCAATATTTTGAAATTTGTAATTTTTCTTTATACTACTACATGAGAAATTTCTGCAATTTGATTGGCTTAGAGCAGTGGTATTTCAGCTTAATTTGAAATACCTACATGTGAAAATTACAAACCTTTTGCGGGTAGTAGTATAAACAAATAATAGCATGATTTGTACGTGATATTTGGCATAAATATCACTCGTGGTATTTATGCCAAATATCACTACAAATTATGCTATTACCTATACTAATAGAGGAGCTAAGCTCTTACAGATTTTGACAATAAAATGACAGTATAAAGGTACTGCGACTGTTAAGAAATGAGGCGATTTTTAAAAAAATTTACCGTAGGAAACGTGAGAAATTCACGGTTAATTAACTGCGCTGACGTCACAAAAATCCAAAAAACATGCGTGGTTCGGGGTCGTGTGAGCAAAATACGCGCGCGAGCCATCACGCCGGCATGCGCATGATGCACAAAGCTACTGAAAACATGTGGTTTCTTTCAGCTGTTTCTTTGAAGAGTACGAAAGCCATTGTTTTGAAGCCCTTTATTAGTATTATTACGGTGATATCTCGCCAGTTAAAAAGGAGAGATAGCGGATTCAATTTTATACCTAACACAGGATGTTTTCTTCGAAGTACTTGACTATTGTTAAAATTCGAACCGTGGTGGTCACTCGTGAGGATGGCGATCGCCGGAGATAAAGACGGTGGTTGTGCAAGGATCGCAATAAGCCCTTCATTTCCTAATCTGCTGTACACTGTTTGCAGATCTTTAAATGTCAGCCCACTTCCGGATACTTTTTCAACCTTGTTCTTATTTAGGGATAATTTCGACGGTGAAGTTTTTCTTTAAAGGTCTGCTGTAAAAGATGGCGCCGATCTATAAATCGTACATCATGTCCTCAGCTACACGTACAAGACCGTAGGTCTCGACGGACAACTATTGCCTTCGTCAAGGGTCAATCTGTGAGTAAAAATTATTTCTCGTTGTGCAAAAACATTTTCCAGTGCATCTTGCATGTGCGTTGAAGGACGTTTGAAACAACAAAAAATACAAGGATGTTGGTTCGTCGATGGAAAGGTTCCTTCGATTAGGGTGCAAGTTAAGTGGGAAACCTGTTTTCTGATAAGTTTTTTAAACAATGTGATAGAGTCGGCAAAACAAAAAAAAAATTACACTCCCTGTATTCTTG